TTTTTTTTTATCGATAAGCTTTTTTTCTATATCGCCCAGCCCTAAGAGAGACGCACATTATTTATATAGTAAGCAGGACAGACTTGTGCAAACACAATGAATTAAACAAAGAAATAATACTTTTTTCCATGGTAGGAATTCAGGAGTACAGTAAAAGCATAAAGTAGTGATCCTCTTTGAGCCTTGCAAAAAAAAAAACGAAGGACAGAAAGCGAAGTTTATCACTGGTGGAGTGCTCTATGGAGTGGCATAGAGCTTGGAATTCTGAGGTTCTGAGTTCTAGCACCGTTCCCACAGGCTGCCACTCTGGGTCTCTGAGCAAGACCCTTAACCCCCTATTGCACCCTGGGCACCCCATGATGGCAGCCCACTGCTCCCCAGGGGAATGGGATGGGTTAAAAGCAGAGGTAAAGTTCTCCAATGTGAGCTCAATAAAATTCAATAAAAAAAAACAACATATCAATCATCTTGGGGAAAAAAAAAGAAAAAACTACAGGAGAAAAAAAAACAGATATAGTAAAATAGTGATCCTCTTTCAGCCTCACAAAAAACAAAACAATTAGGGGCAAACAGATCACCTCTAACCTCTTTATGAATAAAAGAACGGAAAAACTTCTATAAACTTCCCAGATCTCTCTCAGAGAATCACCTCTCTCTGCCTCAGTCATCTAATAAACCGTCCACAGCATTTTTTGCTTCGTTTTTCAGTTCTTTAGATGTAGATGTCATTAATATAGGACTATGAACATTTTCTCTGTTCTAGTTTGAGATGCTGCACAGACTCACTAAGTGGGGCTTTGTTTTATACCTGTGCCAAGTCAAATGTGGAATGTTTTCTTTTATTTGTGCATAGCACAGAGACAGAAGTGAAAAATCCTATTGAGAATAAAAAGTTGTTTTCAGCCATTGTGTTCAGGCCTTTATACTAATGATTCACAGCTTCAACTCATAATGTTGGTTCTGTGCTGCTCTGCTGTTATTCACACATTTTGTACTGTTTTGTATGTATGTCCTGTGCTGTCTACATGTTTTGTGCTGTGTTCAAGCTCTGATAGTTTTGCAATGTGTAGGACATGCTGGAGCTTTTTGAGGAGGGCCAGCAGCTAGAGGAAGAGCTGAGGAAGACTGTGGACTATACTTACCCAGGCAGCCTAGCCAAATTCAGTATAATCAGGACAAGGCACTCTGGAGGCAGTGTAGATGTGTGTATAATGACTAACCATGCACATACTAGATGACCTTCAAACTATCACCTTGTTCTTTTATTATTTAATTTTGTTAACTAGCATAAACACATTTCCTCCAGTCACATTTTTCTCTTCCTATCTTATCATCTCTGTCCTCGGTCTTCTTGTTTTCTTTGTGTAAGGAGGTTGAGCAGCTTCGTCTGGAGCGGATGCAGATTGATGAACAGCTGCGTCAGATCACCCAGGGTCACCGACCAGTCGATCGGGAGCGGGGCGACAGAGCAGAGCGAGGAGGAGGATATAATGCAGACAACAGCGGCAATACCTCCTCAGCTTCCCTGCGTGGCAGCCGCTCCTACAACAGTAGAGGGCGTGGGCGGAGAGGCCAGAATCACAACAGTGGATATGGTACCTACTTTTAGATAATGAATGATGGTTCAGTTGGGTGATTTTTTTTTTTTTTCTTCTAGGTTTTTGCACAGTTTGAAAAAAAAAATTATATTTGAAGTAATTATTTTCCTAATCTGTACATTTCGGAAAAATATTTCTATTTCAAAAGTTTTTATTTCTAATTTTGAGAAAAATAAAGGTTCATCTCAATTTCCATTCATGTCTTCTATTAGTTTCAATCAGTCCTTATATTTTCAGTTTGTTTATCCATCCATCATTCACTCATTCTTATCCTCCATCTATTTTCACAAGTTTTAAGTTTTTTGGAGGCTCTATATTAAAAGCCTAGGCCGTCTTGAACTGTAGATGAATCTTAAATTATGTCCATAAAATAAACCCCAAAAAAGATGGAGAATTCTTGGAATTAGAGACATTTTACATGGAAAATTTCTTAAGCCCAGTCCTGGAGATTTTTAATTTTCTGTTTTTTTTTTTCCTGTTCTCTTTTAACATATCTTCTTAAATTTAGGTGCCAACTCGGAGCATTCAAATGCCTCAGAGACTGATTCAGAGCGCAAGGATGAGCTTAGCGATTGGTCACTGGCTGGAGAGGACTTGGATGGGTGAGCTTTGTTCTTACCTCATAATGTAACACAAAAGCTGTAAAATTGTCTCCAGAATCTGTTTTTGGTTATATTGGGCTTTTTTTGTGGAGCTTATTCTATTGGCTCTTAAATTGCAGGGAGAGGGACAGGGGCCCTCGACCACTAAGAGATGGCCGCAGGAGGCCAGGACCTGGCGGTGGTCGAGGAGGCCGTGGAGGAAGAGGTAGAGGAGGAAGAGGAGGATATGGCTACAGCTCTGGTATAACTCTTCATTTAAGAATTTATAGAAACATGGTGAAAATAAAACAATTTCCTTTTAAATCATAACATGATGCCTTTAATTTTCCACTGTGATTTCGTTTGGCAGGGTCCAGGGACCACGAGAACAACCACGGCTATGGAACCCTGGAGACCAACACCGAGACAGACCAGACGGCCGATACAGACGCCAGTGAGTCCAACCTGCCTGCCAACCGTCGTCGAAGGTCAAGGCGGCGCAGAACGGATGAGGATGCCACCCTGATAGATGGCATGAGCGAGTCTGACAACGCCTCAGTTAGCGAAAATGGAATCGGTATGATGATTTCCTTTTTTTTTCTTTTATTAGCTATTTTTTAAATTTTTTTTATTTAGTTAGGGTTATCTTCAACAAAGCAGAGAGAAGAAAGATAACTCTTAGTGCACAGGGCTCTGCAGGATTCCACATTACAGTGGGGGGAAAAAAAGCTTCAAAATAATGAAGACAAAAATCATTCTCTTTGTGATGACTCAACATCCCTAGATTTGACAGAAGCAAAACCACAGCGTCGCAATCGTAGCCGCCGCCGCCGCATGCGCCTGCCTGAGGAGAGGCAGCCAGGTAACCCAAGCAGCTGCAGTGTGCTCTGCAGGTCATTGCTTCAGCTGCGGAAATTTTCAACCCGACTCACATTTGTCTGTGTGGCACAAAGTACTAAATAAAAAAGTTCAGACTTAAAATTAACTGGCACGAGTGTTGCATGATAAACAGCAGCTCCTAACAGTATATTGCACTCCATGAAATGAATTAGTGTTCTTTTTAACAGTGGAGGAGTTTACTTATGTACCTAGATCCTTTATATTCAGTTCTGTTAGTTACTATGGTCAGAGCTGTTCTATACTTTGGTAACCACTGTAATTCTTGTCAATTTGTAACAAGCTCTGCAGTTAGTTATGGACATTTTAGGCCATTGTCTTTATAAAAGGTCAAAATAGGAATTGGACTTTTAATAAGCCATTTTAATAACCTGAATTTCACTTGATCTAAACCTTGGGTGTTTAAGGTGTGGCCTGAGGGCCATTGGATTTATTTTGTTTCTCTTTTTTATTTAATTTCCCCTAAGACACCTTTAGACTCAGGTTTACCATCATCACCTGTGTGAGTGATGCTGATAGACACTTTTTTATTTTTTAGGCTTTAATGTCTGCCCTCTTTTTAAATAGACGGATCAATAATCGTTTAACTTTGCACTAATTTATGTCTGTCTATCAAGGAAAATCTTAAAATCACTCGATTTTCGATGTGGGTATGTGGCTAAATGGGGAAACATTTTATATATTTATAATGATTTTATTCAACACTGTAGCTAAACGAAGCTTTTTCTAGGCATTGCTTTTGTAAAGGTTGTGAAAATACCTCACATTAGGTCAGTTAATGTGGGTACGGAAAGTATTTAGAACCCTTTAAATTTTTCACCCTTTGTTTCATTGCAGCCATTTGCTAAATTTTATAATGGTAATTTTATTTCTCATTAATGTACACTCAGCACCTCATCTTGACAGGAAAAAACAGAAATGTAGAAATATTTGCAAATTGATTTAAAAAGAAAAACTGAAATATCAATGGTCATAAGTATTCAGATCCTTTGCTCAGTATTGAGTAGAAGCACTCTTTTGAGCTAGTACAGCCGTGTGTCTTCTTGGGAATGATGCAAGTTTTTCACACCTGGATTTGGGGATCCTCTCCAGTTCGGTGAGGTTGAATGTTGAGCAATGGTGGACAGCCATTTTCAGGTCTCTCCAGAGATGCTCAATTGGGTTTAAATTAGGGCTCTGGCTGGGCCAGTCAAGAATGGTCACAGAGTTGTTCCCAAGCCACTCCTTTGTTATTTAACCTGTGTGCTTAGGGTCATTGTCTTTATGGAAGGTGAACCTTCAGTACAGTCTGAGGTCCTGAGCACCCTGGAAGAGTTTTTCTTCCAAGATATCTCTGTACTTGGGCACATACATTTTTCCTTCATTGCAACCAGTTGTCCTGTCCCTGCAGCTGAAAAACACAATAGCATGATACCTCCACCACCATGTTTCACTGTTAGTATTGTATTGGGCAGGTGATGAGCAGTGCCTGGTTTTTTCCACATATATAGTTTAGAATTAACACCAAAAAGTTTAATCTCGGTCTCTATGCAGGCTTTCATGTGTCTTGCTCCGAGGAGAGGCTCCCGTCTTGTCACTCTGCCATAAAGCCCCGACTGGTGGAGGGCTTTGGTGGAACTTTCTCCCTTCTCCATCTCTGGAGCTCAGTCACATGGACAGGTCTAGGCAGAGTTCTGGTCGTCCCAAACTTATTTCTTTTAAGGAAGGCATCTGTGCTCTTAGGAACCTTGAGTGCTACAGAACGTCCCTGTCTCTGAGCTCCTTGGGCAGTTTCTTAGACCTTAATGAAAAATAAAATGAACTTTGTTTTTATTTTAGCCAATGTCTGCAATTAAACAAAGTGAACATTTCAATATTTTCTGTACCCACTGTATGTTGCCTCCTAAGCTGCATGACTTTGAGTGCTAAACAGTTGACCTGTTGGAATGTTGTTGGTGCTTTACTTCAGACAAAGAGTGAGCGTAAGGTTTGTGTTTGGTTCAGTAACCTGAGGGGTGTTTTTGGTTGTTATTGCAGTGACTGTGGCAGACTACATATCCAGAGCTGAATCTCAGAGCCGACAAATGAACACAAAGGATCCCAAGAAAAACAAGGAGGTGGTCAGTACTTTAAACGCTACCTGTTCACCTGTAGATCAGATCATTCATTTTTTTTTTTCCTTTTTTTTCTTTAATTGTCCCAAATACAGTTTCTTCTTCATTCTGTCTCTCCAGGTCGAGGCCATCGCTGAACACAGTCCACAGTCTGCTCCGCCAACCACCAACGGTTCTAATAACGAAGTGTCTGATGGTCCCGGCAACGGTGCAGACCAGTCTCAAAAATCTTCCACCGAGAAGCCCCCTAAAGTCTCCTCCTACGAGCGGGACTCTAACCCTCAGCCCGTTGTGAACGGACTCTCTTAGTTAGGTCTGAGCAAAAGAAACGGTTTCAAATATTTAATCGACTCTGGTGACATTTGATTGAATCTCCATATCCATGTAGAGGCATCAAATGGTAATCCTAACATTTAAACACAACAAGCACTGTTCTTTTTTCTACTTAACAAATATTTGAAGCCTGTTCTGCAGCAGATGTTTTAGAGCTCTGAACCGTAACCTCCCTTTTACATGTTTATCTGTGCAACTATTCATTTTCTTACAGTTTTTTCACAATAGTTCTTCCAATCTGCGCTTGCCAAAGATAGTCAAACACACACACACTCTTACATCTTGTACATAAGCTGTACTTTTAGTCCTCTCTATATTAAGAGCTGGAAGAGGGGTTGGACTAAAAACAGTATTAACACGATGCAGACAGGGATTCCAATCAAACCCATACTCTGGTATGAATACAGCAGTTTTTTATGGTTCGAAATATTGTAGCAGGGTTTTAGTATGAAGTCTGCTATGTATCAGTTGAACAGCAGAATATTTGGGGTGGGTGGGTGGACGGGAGGGGAGTGTTTTGTGCATCAAATTAAATGTTCTGCATGAGATGTACCACAGTGCAGGATTGCTGAAAGACCCAAGTGTGACATACTTGTGATCAGCTATTGTGCCTTGAGAGTAGACTCAACACGTTGCTGCCTGGTTCTGCACTCCGTCTGAAATCCCATTTACATATTTCTGTGCAACGTGTGTGCCCTCACCTACCACTAGTCAAACCCGATAGGACGTCTCAGTGTGCTTAATGTCCTCTTAAAGAGTGAGTGAAGGCACCCAGAACATACAGAAATGATTTCAGAGCCTTCCTTTAAAATCAGATGTCTGCTCGTTTTGTTGTTGGGAGGGATTCAGTTGTCCTTGAAATATATACATCTTGAGGATTTTATTTTTGACTTTAGCTGCTTCCTGTTCTTTAATATGCAACCACTGCGATCATAGGAGAAATGTTTTTACCGCAGATCTGGAAAAGAAATGAGAAGAGTTGTTTTTGTTTGCACTGAAGTGTAACCTTTTTCCTCTTAAAGCTGATTGTAGTTTAGTCTGAAAACTGCTCTGTTAGTGGTGGGCTTTCTGGGAACATCTCATTTACTCAACCTTGGGAAACATTGGGCCGGTTCATCAAATACACAAAATCTGAGTACTGTAAATCAGGGAAAAAAAAACAATTAACAGAAAGCAGTCATTTACCTGTTTGGATAATTACCCACAATTTCGAGGTTAAAGATATCCTGTCAGATCAACTGGACTTCTCTGGTGTTGAGATATTGAAGAAAACTAGGCCCAGGTGACAACTGTGTTTTCCTGGTTCTTCCACACTGGCTGGCTGGAAACTGGTCACGACTGTTCCTCCGAGGAAGATTTATTTGGATTATTTATTTTTTAAAAGTGTACAGTATTTAAAACACAAAAATAAGATGTTCTTCTTTTTCTTGACACTAAAAGGCGTGGTATCCAGAAGATTTCATACATCCATCTACAAATTGGACTACTGACAGTTGTGACATCCCAGGAGTTTTTGTTGGGTCATATACGTTTCTTTTTTTAAGGATTGTCTGGTTGGTTGATGTGCAATACGTTTTGTACGCAGGTAGTTCCTAAATAAACTTGATCTTCTATGTAGATCTAAAACCAAAATGCTGTCTGATTCATTTGTAAGCAAAGTGTTTGCTAATTTACATTATGCTAACATTATTGCAGATAAGCAGGTAATCCATACCAATCCAATCACCTCCAGGATACTTTACCAGCAACTTAAGTTAAGCCGTTTTTATTTTTGCAGTCATTTAGGTTGTAGATTGCACTAAATAGAGAGTATTTTCCCTCATAGTTTTTTTTTTTCCTGATAGTTCTTTATTTTTGCATTGGAAGATTTTTGTTTCATCAAATTAAGTTTTGAGTTCACAAACAATTTCTTAAGCCTAACAGATTTTTTAAATACGAAATTGATTTGAAAGATATTTCCAAATCAATTTAGTTGAAATAAGCTGATCCAAACCGGTATTTTGGGCCCTGCTGTTACACCATTGGCTCCAATGGCATCCATTAAGCCTTTGGGAAAACTGGAATTAGCAGTTTTAATATTTTCACCCCTTTTCTGATACAGTTGTTTTGTCTGGTTCACACACAGGTTCTGCCATTTCAGTTGATAAAAGCCTGGACTTAACTAGGCCTCAACCTCCATTTTATTCTAGTAGTCATTCATAGCTATTTAAGTGTTTTACATCATCCTGTTTAACCAAACAGGTTTCTAACTGATGGGTGGAAATCTTTCTTCAGGACTTTTCCATAGAGTAGAATTTGTTGGTCCTATTATGTAAACTCCTCTTGATCCTAAAGTATACCATAAGACATGTAATAAGTTTTTTTCTTTTCTGTCTGCAGAATAATTCCCAAAAAGTCTAAGGTATCATCATGTTAGGTCAACAATGGAACGGCCCTTTTCAGCAGTTATTTTGGCCACTGAGCTCCTTTCTCGCTCAATCATGAACCAATTAAGCGGATTCAGAACTGGTTCTTTTGGATAAGTCACCCTTGTGTAGGAAGAGTCCCAATTCCCCCGAATCCCTCGCTCAATGTGGTTAATGGCTTTTGTTTTGGAGATACTAATACTTAGAAACTTTATATCTTATCTTAAATACCTTGATTTGGGACACACATTTGCCCTCAGAGACTTTGATTTGTCGTATTTAAGTAATTTACTGCATTTCCAAATCTTTTCCGCTAACCTAAAGATTTGTACAAAAAAATAAAGCAGTAGAAACCCACAGAAAAATATTTTCATGCAAACCATAATAGTTAATAGAAGTCATTCATACTAAACACAGTTATCAGTTTGTACAGTTTGTATTTTATTTGGGAAGAATTAGAAAAACAAAAAAATTCAAGTGCTTCCTCAACTCAGTCCATGAAACAATGTGAATAAAAGCCGTTGGAAATCATTAGCATAATCATCCTCAGCTCTGTTTCTTGGCCTGGCCATCCATCAGGTCCTTTGCTTCATTTATTTTTGCAGCTATATATGGAGAACCTCCTGTGAGATCAAATACAAACAGGCAACGAATTATTGTTGCATAAACTTCATAATTTAATAACAGACTTGCTTTTAAAACTGACCTCTGTCTGGATGGTTCAGGATCATTAGTTTTCTATGGGCTTCCCTGATCTTATTTTTGTTGGCTGTGGGACTGAAAAGAAGAAATGTTATAAAGAAATAAAAAGTTCAAACCAAAAGTAGGAGCTAGAAAAGAAAACTGCACAGGACATTGTTCATACAAAAAGATGTGAAGTTAGAAAACATACAGGACTACTGATATAGAGAAATAAAAAGAGCAGCAGATATCTGGTGTGTCTACATACCTGACACCTAAAATAAGAGCAGCTTCTCTTTTCGTCATCTTTGGTTCAAATCCACCTCTGTAGTAGCCTCCTCCAAATGCCTGTAGGAGCGAGACTAGATGATCAGAAATAGCGAGAACAAAACACTGGTTGATCAACAGAACCACCGGCATGTTTCGCTCCTTACGGTCTTGGGCAAATTCTCAAGGGCCAGCTTCACTTTTGGCTCCATCTGTTTCATGGCCTTCATGGCATAACGACCTGGTGGCCAAAAAACTCAAAGTAAATCAACCAACTCAGACTATATTCATATCAGTAAATCTGTTACTAATAATGCTCTAGTATTAAATACTGGGTCGGACTGCTTGGCGTATAACTAAATTTGCACATTTTCTAAGAGTAGTGTTTGTGATCTCGGGGCTATGATTGCTGGGGCATGCAGTCAAAGCTACACAAATACCTATGAATGACTTCAAATAAAAGTGTTATTATAATAAATTTTATGGTTATCACAATAGTACCATATATTATTAAAGATTTCCAGGCCATATCCCTACTAGTGCCTACAGAAATGTTGACCTAACTCAGTCCACCTAAGATAAATGTTTTATGGATTTACTTACAAGACTTTAAAGCAGACACCGGGTTGCATGATCAGAGACCAGCTTTGGTGTCGTACAGTATGGGTAATTGAAATATCCCACAATCAGTGAAATCATCTCATAAAAGCTATGCAGCACAAAAAAAATACCTGAAGGTTTTTTGTTGCTTCAGCATAATATATTTGTGTTTCATTTGTTCTTCTTTGCTTAATCAATCATGAGTTGATAGAAATTAATTTGACAAACTATTTACACTAAACTTTATTTTAGGGACTATTATTCTTCACAAGATATTAACCCCAAAGCTGTTTCTTTCCTGATTAAACATGTCATTGAAGGGCCCGCCTCTGACAAAAAAAAAAAAAAAAAAACCCTTAGAGATGAAGGGCTATTTATATTGGTTTTAGTCAGTTCATAAATCCCTAATACAATGAGCAGTGGAAAGCATTAACACCAGAAATACAAATGGAAAAAAAAATCCTTTGCAACATGTTTAAATAGTGTTTTTATTCAATCCAAGTGCTTATTTTCTCAGAAGTGTTCTCAATATTTTACCTGCAAATCCAGCTGCTGCAAGAGCCAGTCCCACTGCCACCATGGAGCTGGCCTGCAGGGACACAAAGTGGACACCAAAATAAAAACTTGATGAAACCTCAGAGACTGTATTCCTCTCATACGCTTTTTGCTGCACCAAATGTAAATACAGATAACTAAACTAGCGTAGTCTCCTTGTATTGCTTTCAGATAATTGCAATCTATTTACTCAAGTAATATCATATTAACTACTGAAAGCCGTAAATAACACATCTGCTGTGTTTGATAATCTTATGGGGTCACAGGTAGATGAGAGGAAAGCTAATGTTAGCTTAGCTAACTAACTGAACGTTCTCCAGATATTCCCGGACCCCTGAACATGAACACTTTCTAATACCCCCCTTAATATAGCATACTGTGTCCACCTACCATGTCTCGGGGTTATGTTCCGTTTATTTCGTAGATTACGATCATAACTTTTGACCTCTCATGCTCTCATGGCCAAGCGCAGGCGTTCATGTGTTTATGCCAGAAATCGTCAACAAGTGTCGTAAAATAGATTCCGCTTCACAGTTGACGGCTTCCACTCATTCACGCGACAAAAACACCTAGCTGGTCGATTTGTGTTCAGATTAGAAACGTAATTCAACTGCTGGCCAACGTTTTCATCGCAAATTAACAGGATGTTTGGCCACTATAAATTATTTTAAAACAACCATAGGTTTTTAAGCAGCATTTAGAGTTAAGATGTGCATATACAACTGACAAAAATCCTGCTTTTTGGTGTATACTGTCCAACATTTAGTTTTATTTCTAGTTTAGGCTCTTTCCTCCCAAATGATCAGGGGTGCTCAAGTCCATTCCTCAAGAGCTACCATCCTTCAACTTCTAGATGCATCTCTTCTCTAACACACCTGAATTTAAAGGCTCAATCCCCTCATTTAGCTCAGGTAGTCATGGTAACGAGCCACTCATTTGATTCAGGTGTGTTAAAAATGGGACGCATTAAAATATTGCAGGATAGTAGCTCTTGAGGACTGGATTTGAGCACCCCTGCACCAGAGGTAACAACATCTACTGTTCTTTGACCAATCACAGAAATATAATTTGGTAAATTTATCTTTAAATCAATTTCTCCTTATTAGAAGCTCAGTGTCTTTTTTTTCCGATGTTTACATGATCACTATCTTTTTTCCAAGGAGTATCCACACATTTGGTTGGTCTTGATCAGAACTTAAGTAAAAGCTGATGACGGGATGCATACAAGAATATTTTAGAACATTAAATGTTAATGCAGAAGTCAAAATATATAAATCAGTTCACTGAATTCTGTATCTTCTGTATATATTTTTTTCCTTAGTTTTTTGTTATAGACCATCTCCCAAGTTGTAGGATAACAGAGAACATTTGTGAAGACTGAAAGACTCAATTACATTTCACCTTCTATTTGGCTCTAGTCATTTAAATAAGTTCTGCTGCTCCTATTCTACTTGAAACCCTCTTCTGCTACAATGGATCACAGCCTATCAGTCAAAGGTATTTGTTCAGTTTTTACAAGATTTTTTTTTTGTATGATTTCTTTTAGCATGTTCATTTGTTTCAGAGTTACCGTAAGTTAAACATTGAAAGAAAAGAAAACGCACACCTGTGGAGGCTTAGCTATCAGAGTGATTAAAAGACATATCCACAGGTGAAATGAGGAAAAGAAAGAAGATAACAGCCACTCCGCTTCTTCCTGTTGTTATGGGGAAGCTGCAGGTGTTAAAGAGATGCTTAATATGCTCTGCGGCTAGAGATGTTAGACCTCTGGGATCAGTCCAAAACTGCAAATTAGTAAGGACTTAACCTAAGGCTGATGTGCATCAGCGTTTACCGTGCTACCTTTTGTCCGAATAATGTTTCAGCATGGCATAAATAAGGAAGCTGGATGATTAATAATAATCACCTCATGGAGTTCAACAGAACTGCATTATGTCTTCACTTCTGCGTGACACATGCAAATATACACACCTTTATATGATTTTGGTTTTATAATAGAGCGCGACAACCAATTTTCTACATTTGTGTAAATTTATTTTTTTTTGTAGCTCTTTTTCATAAGACTGTAGTCTCAATTTGACAAATGCCATCCATTTGCATTCAAATCAGGTAAAAAATTCTGGAAGGGTAAAGGCTCTTCTAAATACATACAGCAGTCCAGAGTTCTGTTCCTACCCATGACGCTGTTCTTACGGTTGATCCTGTGGAAGGTGAAGGAATAGGAGGTAGGAACAGGAGCTGTAGAGGCTTTCTGTATTCAGAGTGAAGGTTTGCAATACTATCTTCTAGCTTGAGCTGAACTACGCACATCTGTAATCCACGATTTGAGGCAGGTGATCTGCTGTGTCAACCCATTAGAAGGGAAGCCAAAATAAAATGCAGAGGAAGTAAATTGTTTTTGAAAATCTTCCATTACTGTTTTGCCATTATGGGCTTAACAATTTAAAGCCTATTTGTCTGGCTTGGTTGTCACTTTGCTTTCTTTGCATGACCTGACATTTTCATATTATTGTACAAGGACTATGCAGAACTATTTCATGGAGGTCGCTTGGAGAAGATCAAGGAAAGATCAAAGCAAAATTACATAAGGACACAAAGTATGGATAAAGTGACTTTTTACCAACTTTTTAAAACTCTTATCTGGCATCTGGCTGAAGTAAAACATAATGCGACATTCAAAACTTTTTATCCTAAATCAATTCTCTCTGCCCAGAGACAACCTCTTAAAATGAACAGTTCTGATGAACACGAGGATTTCTGATCTGGCTGAGAGTTGCATTGCAGCCGCTCCTATAGTTTTGCTGCTGGGGTGAGAACGTGCTTGGAAAGGTGGATGTAGTAGGTGTGTGGAGCTTACTATCTTCTGTCAGGGCAGTGGAAGCAAACCTTCTTTTTTTGACATAAAGCGAGCAGAGATATTACCACTTCTTAGGGAAATCTGTTACAATTTCCAGTTCTCTTCCTGCAGGGTCTCAAGCCAATAGGTTACAACTGAATATTATTTTCTGCAAGGGTAGCCTACTGATGTCCGGTACACAATCAGCAGTCTGTACTTATTAACAAGTCAAGGTTTCTTTTAAGATCCCTCCCCACATATAGAGCCAAAAACACAGAGAACTCCGCGGGGGAGGAACAGTGGATGATCAGGAGACTAGACAAACACAAAAACCTCTTTCCACTGGCCGCCAGGATCCAGGACATGAACCATGAATCAAAATAACAGACAGGCTAACAGAAAGACAAATAATGATCTGGCCCCAAATGCTCAGGCTGAACAGAATTTAACCAAGAGGAAACAGGCGAGAGGAATAAATTATAATTGAGGCAGGGAGGGAAAACGACAGGTGAAAGGAATTACTAATTAAGGAGGAGCAAACAGGCCAGATCATGACACTTTCAGCTTAAAAGCATTTAAAGTTTATTCATAAAAAAAATTCAACACACAAGGAGCTGCATAGCTAAAGGCATTCTTCCATAGTTCTGTACGGGCAAAAGGAACAGTGAGCAAAAGCTGATCGTTGGATCTCAGGGCATAAGAAGCCATGCTTTTCTATGTAAGTAAGATACTAATGTAAGAGGGCAGTAATCCAAGAAGAGCCTTGTACATACGTTTACCAATGACACTGCCCTCTCGTAGAGAGGTAAGACCATCCCACCTGAGAGTACCTGTCACAGTGATGTGTCATGGCTCTACAGTTTGTGATGAATCATGATGAAGCATGGTAAATGGAGTCCACATTTGAAGACCTAAAGAAGTAGCATTCTTATAAAAAAGGTCACCATAATCTAGGACCAATAAAAAAAGAAAAGAAAATGGCATAGACAAGGCGCCTTTTTTTTTGCTCCAAAAGAAAAACATGTCTTATTATGAAAGAAGAAGCCTAGTTTAACTTTTAGATTCTTCACAAGTTTATCAATAAAAAGTTTGAAGGTGGGGGAGTCATCAATTCCAATTCCAAGTTATTTATATTCATGTACCACCTCAATGACATTCCCCTCCGGAGTGGACACTAATGGAAGGGTTTGAGGCACCTTCTTATGATTTAAAAACAACATTAACTTTGTCAGCATTAAGAAATAATTTAAGATTGATAAACGAATACTGTACAGCAACAAAGGCTTTCTGTAGGGAAAGAGATGACCCAAAGCAATAAATAATGGTATCATCAGCATAAAAATGCATATTAACATCACAGAAATCTTGTTCAACATTGTTTATGTACAAGATACATAAGAGGAGACTCAAAAAGAGATCCTCTTGGCACACCCTTGTGAGCATTACAACCTCAGAACAAAGCCCCTCAAATTTTATACACTGGGACCTGTTTTTTAGATAATTTGAAAACCAAGCAACCGCATGCTCTGACAGTTCAATGAGAAGTAGCCTGCGTTTTAAAATAGCATGGTCTACGGTGTCAAAAGCTTTTGAATAATCAATAAAGAATAAAGCACAGTAATGTTTTTTATCAAGTGCTAAAATTATATAATTTATCACCAGAGATGTCAAGTAACTGAGTACAAATACTTTGTTAATGTACTTAAGTAAATTTTTTAGGTATCTAGACTTGACTCCATTACTTATTTTTCTTCCTACTTCTGACTTCTACTCATCACATTTTCACACAAGTATCTGTACTTTCTATTCCTTACATTTTTAAAACAAACGTTACTCTTTACTCATGGCTTGGGTTTAGTGTTTATAAATATTTGTTTCACGCCATGTGCGCCATCCAATGCAGATCATTGGCGCCATACACATATAGTGAAAACTAGTGTCATTGGATGAGTCATTTTGGACAAACACTCATTGGTTAGCTATTCATCAAATTTGTGCTGACGCAAAAGGAAATCATCAGAAGCAAGCAGGTGTTCTTCAAACTGCAAACGTGAATTGTCTATGTCATGCTACAATGTCGGATTCAGAAAAAGATGTCGAAATGTCTGAAAAGTCGGACACAGGCGAGAGCGTATCGGGAGACGGAGACCAACAAGACCTCCCTCATCCTTGGCCCTATCTCAAAGAATTTTTTGAAATAGTTGTAAAATTGAGCTTTAAATTCATATAGTGGCATCTGTCTATTTTATTTTTTTTTAAGGTTACTTACTTTTATACTTTAAGTAGTTTTTGGAGCACATACCTTTTCACTTGAGTAAAGAGGTCAAGTTGATACTTCAACTTTTACCATTTTTTTTTTAACTGCAGCATCTATACTTCTACTTAAGTAACAGATGTGTGTACTTTTGACATCACTGTTTATAACCTTCAAAGTAGCAGTGTTTTTTTTTTTTTTTCTGAAACCTGATATTTAGAAAGGATTTCATTTGAATGGAGGAACTCTTTCAATTGATCACAAACAAGAGACTCCAGAATTTTAAATAAAACACATACATTTGAAATTGGCCTATAATTAGTAAGAGCTGATGGATCCCTTCCTTTTAATAAAGGAAGGACAAAAGCGGATTTCCAAATGGATGGGATGTCCTTGTTTTCAATTGAAAGATTAAAAAGAATGGACAGTGGCTCTGCTATGAAATCAGCTGCCAGTTTTAGGAAGTAAGGCTCAATCAAGTCAGGTCCAGGGGGCTTTCTGTGGTCTAATGTTCTTAAAACTTTATGTACTTTGCTACAACTAAAAGGAGAAAAATTAAAGGCTCTCCACAAACCTTGGGAGATTATGCCCAAATATTCCTGGTAGCTGTGTTTTTGAATCAAATAGAGAACCAGACAATAAAAAATGCTGGTTAAAACAATTCAAGATGTTAGTTCTATCTTAAACTGAGACTGAGTCTTTAAGTACAAATGTTGGAAGAATCTGTGAATTTTTATTAACAGAGATTTAATCACTTTCCAGAATTTCAGTGGATCGTTGAGGTTTTCAGTGGTCATGGACAAAAAGAATTCTGCTTTGGCCTTTTTAATAAGCCAAAGCAGAATATTTCAAAGCATTTATTTCGAAGCTGTCTAAAATATGACCAATCACTGGCAGAGTTACTTTGTTTTGCCTTGTCCCATTCTTTATTACGCTCATGAAGGCCATTTGCCAGATCTGGTGAAAACCACAGATTTTGTCGCCCCTTTACTTGCATGAAAATGTCTCTGAAAAAAGTCCAAGCTACCTCTACATCTGGAATTAGATTTATATATTCCCAGTTCACCATAGACAAATCATATTGAAATAACAAGGGAGCTTATATAATGGTGTAAAACATGTTTTCCCTCCATCTAGATGATCTACATTTGGAGTTACTTTTTCTCCCTCATAATAAAAACCTTATTTAAAAACAGCATGATGTTTTTATTTGTTATTTGACAAATATTTAAATTCTTGATGTTCTAAAACACTTAAGTATGCAAACACGAATAAAGATAAGAAATCAGAAAGGGGGCAAACTCTTTCACATCATTGCTTTAAGAAAGAAGTATGGAGATAACAATGGCAAACAGGTGTAAGAAATCAGCTGAAGGGAGAGGAGCATTTTTCTAGAAAAAGTTTAACATTCACAAATAAACCCAGACTAAATTAACAGAAATATGACCTCCATGAGGTTATGATATTCCTCCTGGACATGGAGATTCAGATAAACCTCCTCACCCTTATTCTTAGTCGACTGTTCTGAGTAGAATGTAAACATGAACCTGAGCCAAAGGTACCCAACCTAAGACCTCCACATTTTGACAGTCAATCTGTGGGTTGTGTTTACGTAGTCAAGTGTAACCCAGAACAACAGGGACCTTAGGTGATTCAATTATCATAAAAAATAATTTTTCACAAGTTTACCCCCACTACAAGCCAGACAGGTTACTGGAAACAGGAGATCTTGGGAGACAGAGTCTGGTGTGGCTCAGCAGGGTTCTCCTCTCCTCTTCTGAGCCTGTCCTTACACCAGACAGGATCTCACTCAGCGTCCTTCTCCGCCGCAGTAGAGACAAAGGTTCAGCTAATGCTGTTGGTTCCTCTCCTTCTTGGACAAGCATGCGCATCCCAGCTGTATCAGTTCGGGATCTGGTGTTTGGGCCGGATCAGGAACAAACGCAGGTGCAGAGGGAGCGGGGCGAGGAGCAGGTCAAGGACTCACTGATATCAGGGCTCTCTGTTCTCTGCAATGTTCTGTGAGACATTTATCTATCTGGGTGGCCAGGTCCTCCAGTTGCTTCAGGGTCTGAGGGTAGTCGTGGGTGAAAAGTTCATTCTTTATCATTTCATTAAGACCAGTAATAAAAAAGTTGATGAGAGCGTCTTTATTCCAGGTATTCTCTGAAGATAACAGGTGAAAGTTGATAATATACTCAGCCACCGATCATTCACCCTGTCTAAAAAAGTATGAGTATGGCTTCTTGGAAAATAGACCTACAGGCTCCAATCCTCGAGGTCCAGTGTCCTGCACCTTTTAGGTGTACCTGCACTTCACCTGAATCAAATGGTTGAATTAGTCCCTAGAGTGCAGCTAATTACCTGATTATTTGACTTAAGTGTGCTGAAGCAACTGCACATCTAAAAGGTGCAGTAAAACCAGATCGTGAGGAATGGAGTTGATGAACACTGCTTAAAGCAGAGGCAGAGGCAGAGTTCACATGTTAAACATGTAAGCTGCATGGGGAGTATAGCACATGCCAGTGATCTCTGGGCTGCTCTGGAATCCAGCTCTCCCACAGCTAAACTCTCTTCTGTTGCATTGTTTTATATAGAGCCCCCTGCTCAGGATGATAGCGTGCACATCTGCAGATTCTGAGGAGCAATTTAGACCAGAACATGTCCTGCTGCATTGGACCGAATCTAGATGGTAGCTGACACAATGGGACAGTGAAGGGCCTAATTATTGCCCCTATCATTTACATAATTACAATGTATTTTTCCAAGGCAGAGGCAGTATAGAAATTGTAAATTGTAGTGGACTCGCTGTCTCTCCTTAGTGGAAGTCAGACTTAAATGGAGAGAGCCCGTAAAACTAGCTAGGCTCAGGCAAGAGGTCCCAGTCAGCCAGCCTCACACGCTGCACATTCAATAGGATTTAAAAAGCCAACTATGTGCAGAAATAAGAGCTTTGCCCCTCAAATCATATGGAATTACAGTGCTGGATGCATATGGGGGGGAGCCAGTGGCAGGCACAAAAGCCTGCAGGAAGCAGCTATTTCTGTGTGTTTTATTAACCCAACCAAGCAATTTAATTCTTTTGTTCGGGGGAGTTCTACTTCATTGATTAACAAAAGCGGGGATATAATTTTTTCAGCCCCTTTTGAAAAGCCTGAAATGTCAAGCCTTTTAAAGGAGATTATTCTGCCTGTGTGTGATGAATAGAGCCCAGAGTAACCTTTTGTCTACAATTAAATATTCCAGCATAAATATAAAAGAAAATCAGAGATGGGGAAGATTGAGTCAGGAGAGATTGGAGAGGTAGATCCTCTGCCCGATAGTGGCAACAGCCTGGCTCTAATTAGATATGCTAGGCGGGCTGTGAGCAGTCACTCTCCACAGCACGCCGAGAGAGGAGGCAGCCTGAGAGAGGAGGACAGAGGAAAACTATCTGCTCATCTGTCTGTCCAGCGCCTTCCTCTGGGCATCCACCAGGTATTTCTGGAGACTTTGTTTTGTTTTGTTTTGCACTGTTATTTGTTTTGCCGGCATCTTAGCCAGGGGAGAGGAAGGGTTTAAAAGGCAATGCCTTCTGGGAACTGCATAAGTAGACAGAGCTGAATAAAGAAAAAAGTTGTGAGATTGTTTATGATTCTCAGGACTGATTAGGAATGACAATGGCATACTTTAGGGACAGTGATGTTTTTTTTAATCTGCTCAAGAGGCAGACTGCAAGGCTGCTAGGAAGAGATGAAGAGGATGATATGAAGTTTTATTTTTTGCAGCGGTGCATTTGATTGTGTTCCTGGAGTCAGTTGGACTTGGCATTTATATAGTTCTCCTTTGAGACTGAGCTGTAGGTGGAAGTGTGGTGATCTGCATGCTTGTATGGAAAAGTGGGCATTCAGATGATATTTGGGAAAACATTTATTCGATAACATCAGAAAATAACTGCAGATGACCACAATCTCAGATATGGTTAAACTTTGTTTATTTTGTTTTCGATAAAGTATTAGATTTTCTCATATATTATAACTGGATGTGTTAACTAATCTGCTGTCTAATATGTGCTGTGTCAGGTTTTGACCTCTGGTCAGTGAATTTTTTTTCCTAGCCAATCATTTTCCAGGATGAGTGCATTAGGAATTCATCTCTGACTGTAGCTGTGGGGCTACTTTTGCTCCTTCACATGACCTGTTCACACCCACTGAAAGTAGAAACATGGTTCATCTGTTCCTGAGAACAATTTATATAATGACTTTGTGTTTCTTTTCTGAGAGGTGGGGTTAATTCCCCATTCAGGAGCTTTCATTAGAAGTGAAAACTCTACAGAAAGAATAACTATAACTATCCATATCAATCAGCCTTATATTAGACAGTGATTTTCTTAAGAAGACAATGGATGAAAAGTTTTTTTAATTTACATTTTTAATTTTACAACCTTGTAAACTTGTCATACATGGTAACAAAGTATTTTTCAAATCAAACTAATCAATACAAACATAATAACAACATATTGTTTAATGCAAATATCCATTTGCTGCTTAATATGTTGTCTTTGTAGGTAAAATAAATTGTTTAATTTGCTCTTTGTGGTAACTGATGATGTAGATTTCTTTGAGGAGATCATTTTTTATGAACGCAAGTGTCAGATGTTTTTTTATTATTAAATAAGAGATAGTAAAAAAAATAGTTATTAGATATTCAACTAATCAATTTATTTAGTCTTTTGTCTTATTCAGTTAAGGCATCAAAGCCAAGAACCCACCATTTTCTGCCTAAGAACAAATAGTTCATGAACAATAACATGAAGTCAAGGCATACAGGCTCTTGTGTCGACATAGAGATGGTCTTTTAATTTCTTAATTTTTCATTTGATTGAATTCAAAACAAGCATGGGTATCAAGGCTCTTCACAAGTTTCCACCTGTTCTGTTCAAGATGTGGTTAAAATTGGAGTGAGCAGGTTAGATTCCAGGGAAAACTAAAAATGGGATTTAAATCAGTTGGTCCTCTACTCCACTGCAATTTCTCTAAAAGTTTGGACTCGTATTAGATTAAATGAGGAGTGAGTACAGATGTAATTTGTTAAAAGTTGCGCCTTTTAAAAATACATTAAAATCATAGCATCCTTCTTTAGTAACTTCTAACATTTATGTTTAATTAAAAGAAAATGAAGACCAAACTAAAAGAAAATGAAGACCAAACTACACAATTGCTTTCCTCTGATACCTGTGAACCAATGAAAGTCTGCTTCCATGTATGAGGAATAAAAAAAAAAAATTGACTTCACATTTTCATCAAGTATGAAGTCACTCTTTTTTTTTAAATTTTGAAGATAAATCAGTGACAACAGGCTGCCTTCTTACCAAGAAAAGGCACAACTGAAAATGATTGTACTGGAACTGTTGAAAATCTTCTCTCTAACGTTTCCCATAGACGAGGTTCTTCTGAATGTAATCTCTAGACACTTTTAAAAATAGTTCTAAATTCAACTGTGTTGTTTTTTCAGCCTTTTTTTGCAATTTTTTTTGAAGAATAGCTTTTATTTCTTATAAAGTCCTGCGATCCTTCTCTCTTTAAAGCAATTGTATTTTTAGATGTTAACAGTTCATCTTTAGATTCAGTTGAAACAGTGGGAAATCTATTTCAAACACACCTTTTAAGATGTCCAGTTATTTTTTCATATGATTGTATGTTCATATTGTTTAATGACTGTTGTAGTTTAGAATAGTAATTGTATTTATTATCATAAGCATAGAGCATACTCTTTCAATGTGACCTTTTTGCAAACCAAAATATACTTATCAGAAGTTAGTAATAGAGCATGCAAACAGCAGTAAGTAAAACATAAAAAATATTACATAAAATAATCAATGAAATAATTGTTTTGCAGTTTAAATCTTCATTAACTATACCAAATCCACACTGCCTTTCAGTTTAATTCAAATATAAGTTTTAAAGACAATGAAGTTGATTAAAATGCTTCAAAGGTTTAGTTAATGTAATAAAACAAAAACAGTGGATGCAACAAAGTGAGCCTTATCTACTCAACACAAAACATAGAACACATGATGGCAGTGAAGAATTGATTTCTCAGGAATGGTATAACACAGCAGGGATTATGCAGTATGAATATGTAACGCAACACTGCTGTGAACATTTTTCTTACCTTTGCTGTAATTGAGAAAGCCCAATATTTCTAAAATCATTAAAGTCTATATGTTTATTTGCTGTAACATACTGTATATATCTGACTTGGCCAAAAAGACCTGTCATATTATTTACCGGTAAATAACATTGGAGGTGATCTTGGTTTCAGCTCATTTTGGTCCTTAGTTCCTGTTTTACTTTGGAAAGTCCCGTTTCTTTTGCTGTGTGTTCTCTGTACTTCCGGTGTCCTCTTCCCTCTCTTTATAAGCTTTTCAGCCTCCTGTTTTGTATTTAGGCCCCATGTGTTTTCAATTCACAACATATCATCTCAAGCACTTTACAGAGACAGCTAACCAAATCATACAGTCAGATTGATTCAAAGTTTTCTATCTAAAGAAAACCAGTTGATTAATTACATTGACTCGTTGATTTGAAGGCAATCCCTCACACCAAGCATGCTTGTAGCGACAGCGGAGAGGAAAAACTCAATTTTAACAGGATGAAACCTCCAGCAGAACCAGGCTCAGTGTGAGCGGCCATCTGCTGAGGCCGACTGGGGTTCAAGGAGACGCTTGGTCTCTTGTTTCACTGATGAACTCTCAACAGTATATATTACTGTACCTTCTGTTTCTCTGCACAGGAAACTGCAATCACTTTGTTGCAAAAAAAAAAAAAAAATCAAGAATGTCTCTCAGACCAATACCAGCTGATCTTAAGTGCCGTCCAGTTTGTGACAGTACTTTGCGTTTATTTGCATATAACCCAGACAGCTCTAATCCGATCACTCAGGACAGATTTCAGGGCTAGTTGTGAATGATCGTTGTTGGTTAGTTTTGTAATTCCTGCCTGTGACCTTTTTTGAGCACCAGTGTGTATCTGGATTTACGGTTACATTTTCTGGATTTGTTGATTTGAGATTTTGGACTCATTTCTATGTAGGCATTGGTTTGCTTTATAAAATTACTCTCTACAATTAAAATCTTTACTTCCGCCTCCTCTATGTTTGCAATCCCCCCCACCCACACACAAAAACACACTCATTCTGACATCGTAGTGAGGACCATATGTTGAATCCCATTGATTTCCATTGGTTTTCAAGCATTTTCAACCTTCTCTATGCCCTAACCTTAAAACTAACCCTAAACCTAACCATTAGCAATGCATACCTCACCCTAACCCTAACCCATTTATATCTTAGTCTTAAACCTAACCATTAGCAAAATAGCATGTGAGGACCGGTAAAATGTCCTCACTTTGCAACAACTGGTCCACAATTTGATCGTGAAATTGGAAAAATAGTCCTCACTCTGAGGGCTAGACAGGTGTGTACACACACACACACACACACACACACACACACCGACACACACATAATGTAAACTGTTAGTTGCTGCATTGCCATTTGTGAACCTCTGATTGTGACGTGACTATGATGATGGTGATATGCATGGTGATTTGGCAGAGTTCACCTATGTATAAATACTGGCCATTTAATGTTTTTGAGTTTTTACAGATTTAAAAATGTGTTTTGTATGTATTATCAATAATGTCTACTATTTACGCTGCATAATCCAAAAACAATTTGAAAGAAAGACTCCTAATGCTATTCACTCCTCATTCAAAAAGATTTTTTTCATTTTTTTTAATAATTTTTGTTATATACTTTTGACAAGGACATTGGCTGTGACACTTTTAACTTCTCTATTTTTCACATTCAAGTTTAATGTTTTTTTTTTTTTTCTTGACTCAAATTCTTTCAGTTATTAGTTTTTTGCCTTTTGAAAACAAACAAACAAACACAAAACTTCACAAAAAAAGAATCACAAATATTTCTGCTGAAAAAAAGTACTTATTTTTCTTCTGATAACTGTATGTATTTCTCTGCCCTTATGAGTAATAAAACATGTCAAGCGCATGCATGGACTGTCACAGCTCAAACACATATACATAAATCTTATGTCGCCTCCATCCCAGCAGCCTGTTTCATCCCAGAGGGCTTTATCAGAGCAATGTGGAGGACTGATTGGAGGCGACAGCAGTAATAAGTGCAGGTCAGGAGGTCGCAGCCCTGTTATGATAAGTAAACTGTGAGGTCACACGTTAAACGGCAGGCGCCTCTGATGGCTGATGATACCTGATAAGAGCAGCTGAATAATGTTTTGTTATTTTAGAAGCTGGAATAAAAATTCATTCAAAAATGGAATATGATTTTTTGGAACATTCTTCAGATGTTGAACTCCGAATGACCCAGACCAGTCAGGGAACTTTAAATAGATGACAGTGTTATTTATTACTTTATTTAATTTATTTAGGGAATTCTTATTATTTTTAATGCAGCATAAT